AGCGGAGACACTGCCCAGGTGAGGGGACACTGCTCACACCGTCCGGCTGCTCCCTCTGGGTGTGACACTGCCAGCTATAAACGGGGGTACTGAACAAATTCCCCCGCCGGGCTTTTACTGTCCTGGCCCCGGCACATGTTCAGCCTCCCTCTACAGACCCTAGAGATGGGATTTCTTCTCCTGTCCTTGCTTCTCTTCCTTTACCCCAAAAAAGCAGCAATTTAAATCCTTGGCAGTTAAATTACAGGTTTCCTAAACATTTTTTTTTAATTTTCCTAGGATCTGTTTTTCATTTATCCTTTCCTTCCACATTTTCAGTGAGTCCTTCACGAGTGGATAGGAAAACTCACAATTTTGAAACAGGACCTCTGTATTTGGCTGAGTGCAGGGATAACAAAGGGAAGTTCCATGGAGTGGAATGTGCAGTAGCTCAGACTGAGCCTTCTGGCTTCATGCTCCATTTTTCACATGCCAGATACAGCACTGAGTCCCCACTGTGACTACAGCTGGTGGGAGGGAGAACTGCCCTCATGGTAGTGGAGCACCCAAGGGCCTGATGTTACATGTTTATACAGCTCTGTGTGCTGCTGCTGAGCATGCTGTTGCTTACAAATGGCTTGGGACTACTCAGCCTCTTAGCCCCCAGCTCCAGTGCTCACATGGATGTGATTGTGCCAGTTTGTGTCACCACATCTTAGGAGATCAGAGCCCCCCGTGCTCAGCTGCTCAGACCTGCCCCACGTGAGATCCCTGAGTAGCAATGTCCATTGGTGCTGGGTGTTGTTATCCAAACTGCAGAACCAGTCAGTCACAGGTGGGTTAGGAAGGGGGTGGAGAAGGTGGTGATGGCTCCATCTTCAGACAGTGCAGCTGCAGCCAGAGGACCAGGATTCTGGTCAGGCTTATGGGTTATTTAAAAGACAGGTCATCTCTTTCTCTCTGTCACTCCTGGAAATCATAGAATCATGGAATGATGGGTTGAGTTGGGATGGACTTAAAGCTCATCCAGTTCCAACCTCCTGCCATGGGCAGGGACACCTTCCACTAGCCCAGGTTGCTCCAACCTGGCCTTGGACACTTCCAGGGATCCAGGGACAGCCACAGCTTCTCTGGGCAACCTGTGCCAGGGCCTCCCCACCCTCACAGGGAAGGATTTCCCCCCAGTATCCCATCTGACCTTGTCCTGTGGCAGTGGGAAGCCATTCCCCCTTGTCCTGTCCCTCCAGGCCCATGTCCAAAGTCCCTCTCCAGCTCTCCTGGAGCCCCTTTAGGCACTGCAAGGCTGCAATAATATCACTCTGGATTATTCTCTCCAGGCTGAACAATCCCAACTCTCCCCTTTCCTCCCAGCAGAGCTGCTCCATCCCTCTGCTCCTCTGGACTCTCTCCAGCAGCTCCATGTCCTTGCTGTGCTGTTCCCCAGGGCTGGAGCAGCTCTGCAGGGGGGTCTCACCTGGGGGGCAGAATCCCCCCCTGCCCTGCTGCCCACACTGGGGGATCAGCCCAGGGCACGGGGGTTTTGGGGCTGCCAGTGCACGTGGATGGGTCACGTCCATCCCTCCTCCAGCAGAACCCCCAGGTCCCTGTGCAGGAATGCCTGTATAGCCGAGATGTTCTGGAAAGAGTCTGTGACCTCCCCCGGTCAGTGTTCCTGGGGTAGCACTGCTTTGCTTTGCCATTCCCGCAGTCAGACTGTAACTGTGCCGTGCCTCTGTCCGCAGTGGATGGGAAGTGGGCCCCCTGGAGCAGCTGGAGCGCCTGCAGCGTGTCCTGTGGCGGGGGCAGCAGGCAGAGGACGCGGCTCTGCTCGGACCCGGCCCCGCAGTTCGGGGGACACAAGTGTGAAGGGAGTGACGTTCAGATGGATTTCTGCAACAGCGATCCCTGCCCCAGTAAGTGCTCCGGGTCGGGCTGCTCACCCCCTTCCTGGGGGGAGTGCAGGAGGGGAGGGATGCACTGCACAAGTCACACACTCCCACAACGACCAGGGGGCTGAACGGATCCCTTTCTTAGCTCTGGTTCTTTTTATTTTGGGGAAAGAAGTTAAGAAGTTACTCTCCAGTAGAAGCGTTTTCCTTGCTTTACTGTCTGGTTTTAAATAACTGTTATTAAGAGGAAGACAGATCAGATGTGACTTATTTTTTCAGTCCATGGCAACTGGGGCCCGTGGGGCAGCTGGGGCAGC